ATTATATTTTGAGATACTTCGGAGAGTATCTTCGTGATGGAGATGGTCTTAGTAGTTAAATTTGCATTTAATTTTATTCAAATCTTTTATAAAAATTATTAGTATCACACATTGATTATTTTAGAATGTACCTAAAATTAAATTAATTTCCTTTTCATATCAGGCTGTTTTGAGTTATTGCGTTTCTATATAAAGATATGTAAGCTAATGACATGTTTTACATTTTTTGTTGTATCACCGGCGGTACATTGGTAGTTAATAAATTTTGTTTACAAAAGAAAAAAAAGTTATTACACATTATCAGTAAATACTCATAAATACATCTAAATTGTATTTCTGTACCGTCCAATTTAACGTAGAGTGAATTTGGTAACTGATAATAAAAAGAGTTAATTAAGAAAGTAGCAAAGAGAAAATTAGTCTTAAGAAATAGACAAAAGGGTACAGAAAATATTGAAGTGCAATAGCGTACAAATGCGTTTTCTATAACATGCGCGTGGATAGAGCATAAATGTGACGTCAGCAAACATGAACAAGTGATTGGTGAGTTAATTAGCATTTAATAACATGTGTAAGTCACAATGTAGTCCATGTTTTAATATAGCATGAAATTTTACCATATATGGAGTTACACGTTTACTTAGATATCTTTGAAAAATGTTTGACTCAATGGTAACTCTTATCGACATACTTAGCGGCCTCGTTCGTGGGGAACAGGATGGTGGAAAAACAAAATGATGATGGTGTGTCGAAGTTTGTACTGTTGAAAGGGATCAAATTGTGTGAAAGAGAAGGAACGGATTCGGTCTAAGCCAAATCAATAATACAAAAGAAAACATTGAGCTAACCTATGAGATGTCTCAATGGATGGACAATGACGGTTCTATGAAACTAGTCCATATTCATATTCGCACGAACGGAGAAATTAATATGTTTCTAGCGATGAGGTCGATTTACATGAGCTAAAGTTGTATGTGGGTCCACTACCAAAACACATGACTCTTCAAGTTGATTACTTTAGTGTTTGACTGGTCAACCATGGATTTGCATATGGGGAGAGCGTAAAAGAATTTGGGAAGGATACTAACGGAAATGCTAAGAGGACACACTCAACTTCTAGCAATAACGTTAACTTCAAAATTTAAATATTGATTTGACAAATATACATGTATATAAAATAAAATAGACATGCAAGTTTAAAAGTATACATGCATCTTGAAACATAGACCTCTACGCAAAATTATGGATGGCCAACTTAAAAAAAAAATATTACAGTGGTAACATGTAGAGATGCACATGAAAAAATAGTTGTGTAAGTTTCTCCATATACCTGAATTATGTAAAACCCAAATGAATACCCACAAAAGAAACTTAACGCCTCATCATTATCAAGTTTTCACACTTTGACAAGCTTTAACGTAATGCCATGTCAACTTTCTTCATCTTTTGACTCCGGATTCGTCCCATCAACAACGAGGGATAAAACATGGACAAGTTGCAAAATCTTTGCACAACAACAGTGTCTTTGATTTGATACATTGGATAGATTAATAATATATTAGTTAGTGGAACTGACACTAAATCTGTAAAAACAAACGAACTAACCCAAAATCAGTAACATGCTTAAACATAAATCACTACAATGAATCGAAAAACATGAATAATCAACTGAAATCAACAACAATGATCGGTTAGTCTAATTGTTGTTAAGCAAAGACACAAACGTGAAGGAAAATCTGTGTAATAATAGAAGCTCTACCACTAACGATGATCTGAATAATCGGTGATAAATACATAAGTGATATTAAGACAAGGAGAGATAAGAACCAAAATATTAACACAATCATCAACCGCTTCTTCTCTGTCTGCAAAAACGCAGGTAGAAAGGGTGGTCATATTCATGTCTCTATACACAAATCGTAAAACGTTATAAAAAATTGAACATAGAGATAAGGTCATACATAGATCCGTAAGATATTACTTAGCGAAGTAATATTCTACATAGCAATTAAATATTCCAGATAACACCGTATATGAAAAATTGGATCTATAAAATCAAACGTAGCGCCCCAAAATATCTAACAAACAAGACAAAAATAAACTTAGATCTGTAAAAAAGTCGAAACGCACAAAATCGTTGATATGCATGACCCTTCATAGCAGAGACAACAAAGAAGAACATTCATAGCAAACAAAATCGCGAGCTATACCTAAGATCAATCACTATTACAAACTTTTTAAGGCTAAACCTTATAGGTTTACCACAAAAGACAACCCATATGTCATGGTTTTTACCAACAACTAATTGTCTAGAGAGCAAAAATTGAGCGAGCTTCCGGGAAAAGGTAAGCCGAGAATCAAGCTCAACCAGTCCCCCAAAAGCTGGTCGAATTAATGCAAGCTGTTCCGGTTGGAGAGCACGGAGAACAACCCTAACGGTGTTCAACTTGAAATAGCAACTAACACCGTCACCAACACGTTCTTCACAGTCTCCAAAAACGCGGAAAGAAAGGCTGGATTTCTCCATAATCTACAAAGAAAACAAGGAATAGTAAATCAATAAAGGGACATATATCAGAAAACATGCATAACCTTAAACTACAACAATTGCAAAATTTGGCTCAACTGGATAATATCATATCGCTTTAAAACTCCAAATAGCAATCATAAAAATCGCATAACCTAGTAAATGAATCCATAGATCTATGAAAAACAACAAAAATCTGTGGAAATACGGTTGAGTAAAGTTACGAATAACAAAATGGCGAACTAAAGGTGAGGCAAAAATCAAGAAACAACTGAAACTCTCAAATCCGAAAGCACTTAAGAATATATAAAGATCTTAACAGATCTAGTACCAAGACAAAAGCTGAAACACAACCATTTCGGCGACTTCGATAAAAGGAGGAAGAGAGATGAACAGAAGACGAGATTCTTAGCCAACTTGGGCTTGTGAGTTCGGCGGGGTAAAGAAGACGGACAGTTTTCTTCACAGAACCATTAGAATAAAAATAACATTCACATGCAAAAATCATTTCGTTTTACGAGCTCATTTAATGCTAGTGACAGGAGAGAAGGAGAAAGCTTGTCGTGCTTAAGGTCAATAGGATCACAATCGATGGCTAAATATTCTCTCCCTAGTAACAACGAAACTATTCTTGCTATTCTCTTAACTAGATCAAACAGTATTGTCATTGGGTGCAAATACTTTTAATGTAATGTGTAATGTAACAAGTTAGGGAATTTTCTCAAAAAAAAAAACAAGCTAGGGAACATATGTTCATCATCCTATGTAGGCCACATTAAATTATTTATCAGCTATGTGTACGTGCACTATATGCATGTAACTTAATGAACTAATTGCCATTATTTTATAATCTTTGAATACTTGAGGATAACATGTTGTGATTTAAAGCAACGTCTTCAGCTATAATGTGTGATTATAAATTCATTTAAAATTTTATATATAATTTAAGTTAGTTAAATAGTTAAATTAAAGATATATAATCAACATTTTTAACAACATTGTTAATTAATAAATAAAAATTTATTTAATGAAAAGAGAAGTGAAGAGATAGTAAATTGATAAAAACTACACGTAAATCATATATATCAAACAACAAACATCACCTTTTTTATTATATGGAAACAATGTTGTTAAAAATGTTGAGTATATATCTTTAATTGAACTATTTAACTAACTTAAATTATATATAAAATTTTAAATGGATATAAGATATTTTATTTATTTTATAAAGTGAATTTAAAATTACATATGTCTTAATCTATATCATGTAATTTTGTTTGGCCTTATAAGATACTATTAAATTAAAATAATTTTAAGGTAATTGATTTTACAACATAATTAAGATACAACATAAGGAAATCAGAAGACTACATTAACAAGACACACTAGGGCATGATGAGACAAGCGTACATAGACGTTTTATTTCATTTTAATTATGCTAAACCATACTCTTCATCCAAACGATGATATGAGTTCATTCCCACTTCACTTGATGCTGCAACTGTAACGCTCGTGAACCAAAAATGTGATTTTTGGTTGTGTG